TCAATCACTTTATTTAACCTCGGAATACCTATAATGTCTAGCATTTAATACAAACAAACGAAAGTGATTCACTACTGAACCTTCGATCCATTACAACCCCAAACCATACGTGTTCTTAAACACGGTGGATAGTACAGATTAATCCGTATAAGCTACCCCGTCTATACATATTCATGACTTTACAAAGCTGATGGATTAAGATATTATTAATAGGAGACATATTAATTAACATTTGTCAAATAGAGTTAAGTTAAAAAACAAGTGCGAATTACGCCCCCCTGCTCATTTGCATTATACAAAATCAGTATTGGGTTAGGAGGTACACTCATACAATAAATATCAACTACATATCATCACCTTGATTCAGGGCCCGTTTTAACGAGAATTGGGGGGAAATGACGGACGGAACTATGAAGATAATCGGCGGGGATTGTCTAAACTGTTTAAGTTGTTGTCACACACATGGGTCAATACCTCTCATGGTTTTGACAGCAACTGTGATTTCTTTGACCTCGGCTTTCTTGTACTTAGCTCTGAATACAATTCCAAATCCACCTTCTCCAATCACGTTATCAATCTTAAGTTCAGAAGCTTTGATTATCCATTTTTTGATATCTTGTACCATAACATCGGCTTCTCCATCGATGATGTTATCCGAATTAACTATATCCTGCAATCGATAATATAAAACGTTACAAGTAATTTAATTATTCGTTATATGTTCCAACAGTCCCAGTTAGGTTTTTTAGTGACTGTCACTTATAAAATATGTGGATATGTTATAATTTAAATGTTGGGGAGTATACAGCATGTTAGAAATATGGTGTTACCCTCCTGAAGTGACACCTTGTGTAGGTGACACCTCCTAGAAATAAGATTATTTACAAAATGTACAGAATTGTATAATCCACAAATAAACCAGTTGAGCAGTTTGAATCAATGCATACACACAATATCATGTGAATGAAATTGGCCCAGACATGCCTGAGGAATGTGCGAGACAAAATTTAGGAAGAAAATGGCCGCCAGTCGGTCAAAAGTCAAAACACGCAAAACAAATTGACGTGCCTATGTACCCCTACGTGTTGTTATTTTACATAGTATAAACAAATCGACAAAGAGCACGTAATGCTGGAGAACCATGAAAAAAAAACAAAAAAAAACAAGACCACCAGTCGGCAATTTCAAATCACAAAAGAAACTGACGTGCACCATTAACACATAAAGTGTGACGTTCATACCAACTTTGAGATACATTCATGTGATATATATCCATTATATCATAGTACTTTCATGAGATACATTCATGTGGATATATATCTATTATATCATAGTACTTTCATGAGATACATTCATGTGATATATTTCCACTATATCATAGCACTTTCATGAGATACATTCATGTGATATATATATATATATCCATTATATCATAGCACTCCCATGAGATACATTCATGTGATATATATATCCACTATATCAGAGTACTTTCATGAGATACATTCATGTGATATATATCCACTATATCATAGTACTTTCATGAGATACATTCATGTGATATATATTCACTATATCATAGTACTTTCATGAGATACATTCATGTGATATATATCCACTATATCATAGCACTTTCATTAGATACATTCATGTGATATATATCCACTATATCATAGCACTTTCATTAGATACATTCATGTGATATATATCCACTATATCATAGCACTTTCATGAGATACATTCATATGATATATCCACTATATCATAGCACTTTCATGAGATACATTCATGTGATATATCCACTATATCATAGCACTTTCATGAGATACATTCATGTGATTTATATTCACTATATCATAGTACTTTCATGAGATACATTCATGTGATATATATCCACTATATCATAGTACTTTCATGAGATACATTCATGTGATATATATCCACTATATAATAGTACTTTCATGAGATATATTCATGTGATATATATCCACTATATCATAGTACTTTCATGAGATACATTCATGTGATATATATCCATTATATCATAGTAGTTTTATGAGATACATTCATGTGATATATATCTATTATATCATAGTACTTTCATGAGATACATTCATGTGATATATATTCACTATATCATAGTACTTTCATGAGATACATTCATGTGATATATATCCACTATATCATAGCACTTTTAGGAAGATACATTTCATGTGATATACATCCACT